TATATATATATATATATATATATATATATATATATATATATATATATGTGTGTGTGTGTGTGTGTGTGTGTGTGTGTGTGTGTGTGTGCGCCTGTTTCTATGGATGTTCTTGACTATATGAATATACACCGTATTCTGTCACAGCTAAAAATGGATGAACTTCGTTTTGGTATTTATTGACGAGTCGATAATTATTTCAGTTTATTAAGTAAAATTATACAGATTTTTTTTTCTATTTGTGGTATTAATTGAAAATATTTACAACTTTGCTTCACGGAATCTTGAAAAAAGACTTTTATACTTCTCAGAAAAGAACTACTCTTGGGGCCTAATTTTTATAAAGATATCACTGTATGTAAAGACTAAAATAAATTGTAATTATAATGGGCATTATCTGCCGATTGCAAACATACCAACAATGATTGCTTGGTCACTAAATACAATTACAATCTAATGTATTTTATTAATTAAATATTACGTCATTTGGTGAAATTCTAAAAGTATAGTATGTGAGCTATAGTCTTACATTTACTAAAATGGTTCATGAGAATCAATATTATGATTCAACTATAAAAGAAAAGTAAGTTTTCAGCCAGTCTTCGAGAAGACCTACTCTGAATTTAAAACTGAAGAAAGCAACGTGAAATGCCACAAGAAGTCATGACTTAATTTATAATAAAAAAATAGATTATGTAAAGATCTATGCCCTGAAAGGACTTGACATATATTTTTAATTAAGATTATTAGGCTCGTAGCTACAAAATCACAAACTAAAGAGAGCAAGGCTTTTGTTTGAAACCAGTACAAAATCACCAATTCCCAAAATGCCGGTATTACATAGATATCCGTATTTACATTAGTGTATATTTTACTACGAATTTTAAAACCGGGGTACCATCGGTAAAATAAAAATACTTGTCTTTCTACTTGTTGTTCTACGTTCTTCTGGTCGCTACTTGGCGGTATTCATCTTGTAACATTTTTATTATTGAAATTGAAATCCTTTAGCTGTGTCTCCGTACTTTGGTATTTGTATTATATAATGCTGTATATATGCATCAGCTTGATGCGTCACGTATTTATTTAGTTCTATATTCGGGATATTGTCACAATGCAAGTTCAGTGCGAAGAATTTCCGACAAACATAAGAAAATGTTTCAGTGCAAAAAATGTAATATTCATTTATATCTTCTGAAAATGATGGAATTATTGAAATATAAACAAATATGATAGCAGTTGTCACATTTTCAAAACTTCCTCATTCAAATATGAATTAAATTTATTTTTGCATTAATTTTTCTAATTAATCAATAATTAATCACTAGCCGATTTTGGGCAGTTAGCTCAGTTGGAAGCACGAGATATTGGGCTAAAATCCTGGGGAATAAAAAGATATATAAATATTGTAAATTTTGAAAATTTGTTTTCCCAGTTTTTCATACATTCCATTATTCACTTCTATTTTGAAGGAGTCATGTATTTTATGAGTTATTTTATGAGTTATTTTATGCACACACACACACACACACACACACACACACACACATATATATATATATATATATATAGTCATCCACACTGTTTCGCTGCATCACATCTCATCAGTGTGGTTAGATGTTGAATTGCTTCAAGCCGAGATCGAAACTCGACCGATTATATATATATATATATATATATATATATATATATATATATATATATATATATATAGCATACAGAAATACATTTTACAGAGCAGGGACTGAAGGAATTTACCCTGAAAATAACTAATTGAATACGTACAGTTTGTCCTGCGGTGTGGTGCTGCCACTCCTCACACACCCACACACACACACACACACATATATATATATATATATATATATATATATATATATATATATATATATATATATATATATATATATATATATATATAGAGAGAGAGAGAGAGAGAGAGAGAGAGAGAGAGAGAGACCTCGAGGTGGTGTAATGGTTAGCAAGCTTGTCTCACTAGAACAATTACAACTGAGTAGTGAGTTCGATCCTCACTGGATGCCTCTTACTTTCGTCCTTGAGCCACATCCAAGCTATGCTTGGAAAATCACTATATATATATATATATATATATAGAGAGAGAGAGAGAGAGAGAGAGTGGAGAGGGATAGAGAGATGGTTACATAAACAGTCTACGATAGCGACAAATACAACTTTTATATTTATATATTACTAATGCCGACGATAACTTTGCACCCCTAGTGTTCAATCGTTATCGTATTAGTCATAGTAACTCTGCTCCTCATTTGGTATCCTACAAATTTACTTCTGTGCAAAAGATGGTTCAATCCACCAAACATTAATGTTTATACTATATTTTCCAGCGTCGAGAAGGTTCCACCTGTAAAATTTTGAAAAATAAATAAATAAATTATAAAAACTAAAATTAAGTAAAAAAAAAAAAAAAAAAAAAAAAAAAAAAAAAGAACTTCGGTTTGTAGGACACAGAGTGAATTTACGAGACTTATTTCAGAAATAAATAGGATCTTCGACACCAGGAAATTCAACTTCTATTTTAATAACTGGAACATAATACTATCTTTTGCTAAACAGATCACATGAAATAGAAAATGCAATTTTAAACCAATCTGTTGCTTTTCATAACCGGAAAACACTTGATAGGACATAGCGCAGTAAAAGTTTATAAATACATCTTCTGATTCTGAGACAGAAAGATATAGTTTTGTATTTGGTATTTAATTAATAAAAGAAAAACATATTTAAGAAAAACCTTCAATTATATAATGACTTCTCTTTAATAAAATAATGAACCATTGCAAATATATTTCTTACTCTATGTTTTCAACTTGCCTCCGGGGTAAGTAACAGTCGAACTCTCTGCTTTCAGGAGGAAAGGAACCCGAACGAGGCTCCGCCGAAGGGCAGAGTCTCGTTCGGGTTGGTTGACTGCCCCTGAACCCGTTTATGCGGCTTCAAAGAGGGAATATTTTTGGCCGAGCCTACGGGCTCGGAAATCCCACGTTAAACCCGGCCTTGTGCCATGTGTTACCCTCGTGGGGGGTGGCTAAATAACTTACTCTATGTTTTCACAATTTCAATTTAATTCACTCTGAAAAAAAAAACTTTAAATATTACTTGCTTAATATATCGACTTTTAAAATTAAATAATTTCATCATAAAGCAACATTTCGGTTTTTTTTCGTTTCACATATAAAAACAGATTGTTTCAACCATTTATCCGAGTCATGATTCAATAAAAGGTCATAAGATTAGATAGAACAATATTGATTCGTTTTTCTATACTTTTGACAAGTGTACTTTGTTTTACATTACCAAATTTAATATGTATTTTTCCATTCTCATATATTTCACTGAAATGGTATTCCTAAAAAAACATAGTTTATCGTTAAAAGTAACTTCGGAAAATGTTTTCGTTTCGTTCCACTTTTTTCTTTCGGTTCAGTTTCTGTTTTTTATTATTCCTATTTATCTTTTTTTTTCTTTTCCCGCTATTTTTCATTCTCGTCAACCCTTTTTTTCTTTCTCTTAATTTATTCACTTTGACAAAATAATTGTTATGTTGATTGATGCGTAGGTAACAAAGATTTTTTCTTCTTCTTTTTTTCCACCTTCGAAAGCGTCTAAGTGCATCCATCCACTGAGATCAAAGACCAAAAAGATGCTTTCTGCAAACCTTTACAACATTTCCTGTGATGGCCACTTACCCTGGTAGTGGCTTTGTCAACTTTAGAAGCAACAGCAACAACAGCAGCAGTAGCAGCAACAGCAGCATCATCCACGGGGGCAGCAACAGCAGCAGCCTTATAACAAATGGCATTGATGTAAGTGACCCTATTAATTACAACCGCAACTAACCATCAAATCAAACGTCAGTTAGTATCAGCTTAAATTATTAAAAGCAGAAAGTCGTAAACTTTATGAACAAGAGTAAGAATCGTAGCTAGGCATTGCAATGGAAGATTGTATTTTTGCAAGAGGATTATCGCCAAAAGAAGCGAACTGGAAAAAATAAATAGAATCAAAAAGAGGAAGAAAAATCAATTCAGGTTTTTTCCTTCTTTATTTTTATTTTTTTTTTTTTTAATTCGGAAAATTTCGCCGCCAGCCTCCTGGCAACAACAACAAAAAATGAACCAGAATGGATGACGTTTGTTTTTGTTGCTTTTGTTGCTCTTGTTGCGGTTATAAGATTGCTGATTTATTAACAATGTCAACAAAGTTAGAGACGAAAAATGTTTCTCTCAGACTGAAAGAAGAAAATAAAAGTGGGTAATCTTTCATTCTTATTTTATAAAAGAACTAAAAACAGAAGGAACATTTATTTTAAGATTAAGTAATTATTTTTAGAAGGAAGAAAAACTGTTTGCTCTTCACTATGGAGTACCTCATATTCTGAAAGAAAAATATGATCGGAATAGATGTCACATGATTTCTTTTCTTCGCTGTCGAGAATGGTCACGTGGCGAACAAAACCGCGAAGCTGAAAATTCGAATTTTGACCAAACAATGAAAAGTATTCGCCTCCTCTTTAATTTCTGCTGTAAATTAATTATTTTCTTATTATTCTTCGTACTTCTATTTCTGGTTATTTGACTTTATTTTCAACCGGTTTTTTTTTGCATCAAAAATAAATATAAATGAAATAATAATTCTAAACGAGTAAAATATCATATTCAACGCTTTTTACAATCAATTCTGTAAAGAAGACGACGGCAATATAAAAGCAATATTTGAAGTAAAAACCTGAAAAAAAAATTTGTTTTTATTGAACCTGATTTTCTTCGCGTTCTTTGGAATACACACTAACCTACATGAACAAGATTGGAAGAAAAGCAAAAAGAATTTGCTCTACTGAGTGAAAAAATAAATAACTAAAAGACGAACACAAACAACGGAGTGAATAAATTCTAACAATGCCAGTCACACAACAGTTCACCAGAAACGAAGTTTCTTCGATTAAGCAGCAAAATATGGACATAGAGATGCCGTTCATGGCATTTCCTACCACCGTTCCGGCCAAAGCTGAGTCCCATTATATTGCCCTCGAAGTGTTCGTTGCTCTAGCAACTATTGTCGGTAACTTTTTCGTCATAATGGTGTTCTTTCGATTTTCCACATTGCGGACTCCTTCCAACTACTACATTCTCTCGCTAGCAGTAGCCGACCTGTTTGTCGGTGTTTTTGCGATCCCGTTCGCAATACTCGTTTACCTGGGTCTACCTCGGGATTTCAAGGCATGCCTTTTCATGAATTCTCTGTTGATGCTTCTCTGCACAGCCTCTATACTATCCCTGGTTGCACTCACTGTTGACAGGTATTGGGCTATCTCACGACCGTTCCACTACAAGAGACAAGTAAACAAGAGGGTGCCCGCCGTGGCTATTTGCACCTCATGGATATTGTCAATTCTGATTGGTTTAATACCTGTGTTCGGTTGGAACAAGGGCAAACCAAAAGAACCCCGTTGTTTTTTCCTTGAGGTGATGGACCTCAGATATTTACTTTTCATATATGTGGTCACTATATTGTTACCTTCTTTGGTCATTATCGTTGTCTACATGAGGATTTACAAAACGGTCCGACGTCACGTGAGTATTCATTTCCATTTTTTTCCCTTCCCATCTCTCTTAATCGGCATATTGCTCATTAATTTTACAATAGATCATTTCTCCATAATTTAAAGCAAAGTCAGTTCAGAGAAGAAAATACATTTGCCTTTTTCGGCCAACTTTTCTCGCTGCAAACAATGAAATTACTTTCATGTTTCAATTAACGAGTTTCTCATTAATAAGTTTACCGAAATCTTTACAACTGTCAGTTTAATCCTCTATAGCAACAATAGTGATATTTTTGGCTTTCATAAAAACCTTATATGCACGAATTCCACAAAATTTTATTAAGATGAAAAATGAATGCCAGTTTATGAGTGGCTTCAAAAACTGAATCACAACCCAAAAACAAATTCAAAAATGTTTAAAATACGGTCAGATGTTTATTTGTTTATTCTCCTAAACTCAAACTCTTTCAAAATGTTAATTGGTAGAAATGGACATAATAAAAGAATATATTAAATATTTACACCTAAAAGATTCATCTTTTGCTGGCGACATGTAAATTTGTTATTCCCCTTGTAATTCATTTTTGCTTTTTGTCATCTGCCTTTTTTTTTTTTTGTTATCCATTTGAAAGTAGATTTACGGAAAACTCAAGAAACGTTAACTGTCTTTTTTATCTTTTCTGGTGTTGTAAATAAAAAAGAAGTAACATTCTGACTTCAGATTTGTAAAAGTCTTGGACGAATTTCTGCAGTAAAATTTTTTTTTGTGCGTGTGTATAATCCGGGAAAATACAAGAGTTCTCAAACCAAAGTCGTAGATGAATAAAATGTTTATTACAACCAGGTTTTACAATTATCGGTTTGATAAGAATTTACCATTTAAAAGTTTGCTTGAAACTGAGCATCAACAATTCTGGAAAAAGAGCAAATGCGAAAGCTTGATACTCAATAATAGAATGCAAATAACGAATAAATAAGAGAGTTTTGTTCAGTTAAATCTTTCGGGTGAGAAGCGCTAGCTAATGGTCAAATAGACAGTCAATTGGTTTGACTGACTGACTGCCGCACTGGAAGGGACAAAGAAAGAAAAAGATATAAAGGTAAACAAAAAAGAGCACACTTGGTAAAGACAAGTAAGGTTGATACCGACAAGTCGCTGACTGTAAATGCTGTCATGCTGTGTCAGAAAAGTACTATATAAAACGAAGTGAATGTCAAAAACTAAGGTTAAGCGAACGAAAAACGAAAAGGACAGGCGGGAGGAATAGGGGAGGAAGAATAAATCATTTTAAAAACTGACTACGGAAATGTGGTAGAACACTGACTGGCCTCGCTTTCCTTCCATAAAAAAAAAAAAAAACCAACAATCAAACCTACAATTGGCGGCTGATCAAATTTCGAGTTCACACACGCACACATTTTCATAAACACCCACTTACTGAAAGAAAACGTACATATGAAAGTGCAAAAAATATAATCATAAGCACACGCATTTTCATTCTATATTTTTGCTATTATGTATGTGTGCATACAAGTCTTATTTATGTAATGCGCACTTGGACAACAACCCTTCATTAATACAGGTTTGATTAAAGAGCATAAACAAGTAATGGTGGTTTTTCTTTCCTTCTTTTTTTACCTTCCCCATTTTTGTACGGTTGAACATGGACCTGTGGCATACTAGAATTGGGCAAATGTCTTTGATCGTGCGCTTTCGACTACTGGCTTCGTCATGATCAAAACCCAATGCTTTCGAAAAAAACTGTGATTACAAATGCTCGTTGCTTCACGTACTTTTTTAGTTCAATTTTTAAATATCAACAGTGTCATTTATACGTTACGTCGATATCTTGCACGAAGCAAAATTCTCCTCAATCATTTCAAAAATGCGAATATAATCAACGAGTATCTGACGTATACTATTGGGATAAAAGTTCACAGTACATGTTCCTTAGTATGAGTAGGATCCAATTTTGGTTGCACAAGTGGCAAGTTAGTCTACAGGATAAGTTTGTGACTATCAATTGATGTTTGTATAACAAACATAAGATCCCTCAAGGGAAAGAAAATTCATAGATTATTTAATATTGATATTCTCTTTTTATTACAGGAATTATTATAAATGAACACTAAGGTTATATATTTTAAATTTTTATAGAAAATGACTTATTGTGTATATGCTAATGGCGATTTATGTTAGTGGAAAATGATTTTCGTCGCTCAGCTTACGCATTTTGTTCCAAGAAAATAGGTTTGTTATGAACGAAATTTATTCGAAATAAATTTTGTTAGCATTGCTATTATTATTCTCATTTTTATCATAATTTTTTTTATTGACAAAATCTTTACAGGATTCGTTAATTATGGATCATCTTTACCAAATAATGTAGGAAAGAAGAGATAAAGTAGGACCTGTCTATATTTCTGAGATGAGCTATTGCAATTATTCACATTATTTACATTGTCCGGACTATTGTCCTCATCTTTATTGTCCTATTCACGACGTTTCGGCCGTTGTACGCACTGGCCTTCTTCAGGATCTGTCTATATTTTTGAGATGAGCTATTGTAATTATTTACACTATTTACATTGTTCGGACTATTGTCCTCATCTTTGTTGTCATA